TCACGCGGCATAAATTCATGTCGCTGAGTGCGTTTATCATTTATATATTTAATCGTTTTATATTTATTTTTGTATCGGGAAAAAAAAACACACCGCGCGCAAAAGTCAACAAGTTGCGGACGCTCCGTACACACGACTTCAGACAGATCGAGTGAAATAATCACCCCCCCCCCCCTCCAATACCCGACCCCCCCCATCACCGCATCCCCATTATCGTGGCGGCTTGTAACCAGTAGGGCGCGAGTTCAACTCCTGGCTAGGAGTAGAGAGGGGTGGGTGCAGGGTGGAGGTGGTTGACTCAGGCTCACTATTTCTCGGGGGCCGATTAAAGTCTGTACCACTTCGTGGGGAAGTCAGCGGCGGACGTCCTCTGGATGAACTCTCCCCCGCCACAGGAACGTGGAGCTTTAACCCCACTGCCTCGGGGCTGTGGACAGGAGGGTGAGCAACCAGCAGTGCCTCGATCCTCATTTGAGCCGGAAACCGTTGCGACTTTGATTTGTTCATGCGGGTCGCCGAGCGCCAATTAACGCGCTCGTTAGCGAGGTTTTGGGAAGCCCTTCAACGATTTTTTGTTGTCGTTTCATTTTCTGCTGGTGCTAAATAAAAATGCGGTTCTTGGCAATCCGTTATAGTTCTGCTTATGAATTCGTTGTAATGAATAATAATAACAACAACATGCCCTTGTGAGGTTCTGCTTGCTCCGTGTAATTGTTTGTCGCGGGCCACGTGGCTTTCTTTTTTCGCTGCCGCTACCCGAATTGTTTTTATTTCTTTTGCGTAAAACAATTAAACTTCAAAGGAAGGGGGGGGGGGGGCATTCCATTTCCCGCGCCCTTCATGTCCAAGGTTAGCTGCCACGTGTCCTCGCGAGCGGCGCTCTGCGGACTTTTCGTCGAGCCGAAGGTCGCGGAGACGTCGCGCAAACGAGGCCGTCCTTGCCGGCTTGAAAGCGACTCTTGTTCCGGGCGCACCACCCCGCGCCCCCTTCCTATCCGTCGAAAGAACACAAGCGATAATGACGATAATCCGCAAAGGCTTGGAGCTTTTCGAGTTACCTTGTTTTGACTACGCTGCTGCCGCCGCTGCCGCTGCCGCTGCTAACTCAAATTTCCGCCTCTGTGGCGTTTTTTCTTTTCTTCCAAAATTATTTTTGTTACATTCTTTTCCCCCTTCCTCTAAACCCACGTTCGTCCTGCTCCTCCTAACGGCACGACCGAGTCGATCCGGTCAGCTGTCTGTCCCAGCACCGGCCTCGTGTTCACGCGGAGCCCGCGCGCTCGTGACGTCATAACGACACGTTGACGCGCTCATGTCACGTGACGTTTTTACGACACGTTGACGCGCTTATGACACGTGACGTCATTACGACACTTTGACGCGCTCATGACACGTGACGTCATTACGACACGTTGACGCGCTTATGACACGTGACGTTATTACGACACGTTGACGCGCTCATGTCACGTGACGTTTTTACGACACGTTGACGTGCTCATGACACGTGACGTCATTACGACACGTTGACGCGCTTATGACACGTGACGTTATTTCGACACGTTGACGCGCTCATGTCACGTGACGTTTTTACGACACGTTGACGTGCTCATGACACGTGACGTCATTACGACACGTTGACGCGCTCATGTCACGTGACGTTATTACGTCACGTTTACGCGTTTATGACACGTGACGTTATTACGACACGTTGACGCGCTCATGTCACGTGACACTATTACGACACGTTGACGCGCTTATGACACGTGACGTCATTACGACACGTTGGCACGCTTATGACACGTGACGTCATCACGACACGTTGACGCGCTTATGACACGTGGCGTCATTACGACAACGTTGACGCGCTTATGACACGTGACGTCATTATGACACGTTGACGCGCTCATGTCACGTGACGTTATTACGACACGTTAACGCGCTCATGACACGTGACGTCATTACGACACGTTGACGCGCTCATGTCACGTGACGTCATTACGACACGTTGACGCGCTCATGACACGTGACGTCATTACGACACGTTGACGCGCTTATGACACGTGACGTTATTTCGACACGTTGACGCGCTCATGTCACGTGACGTTTTTACGACACGTTGACGCGCTCATGGCACGTGACGTCATTACGACACGTTGACGCGCTTATGACACGTGACGTTATTACGACACGTTGACGCGCTTATGACACGTGACGTTATTACGACACGTTGACGCGCTTATGACACGTGACGTCATTACGACAACGTTGACGCGCTCGTGTCACGTGACGTTATTACGACACGGTGACGCGCTCGTGTCACGTGACGTTATTACGACACGGTGACGCGCTCATGACACGTGACGTCATCACGACAACATTGACACGCTATGACACGTGGTCTAAACATTTTGACACGTGTGGTGCCTTGTGTTTCCTCCATCGTGTGCTCCGTGAGGGGGGGGGGGGGGGGGTACAGATTGTGTTGGCCCCTGAGAGCCTCCTCTGTTCCTAGAGGTGGAATCGTAACGGGCTTTGTAACACACGTGTCTGTCAAGTCGTGCTAGGGGTTTTTGCGCGCTTGTGTATGCATTGTGGGGGAGCGGTAGTGTCGTGGTTAACGCGCCGCGCTGCGAACCCGGCAACCCGAGTTCGATTCCCGCTCACGGCCAACACCAGTAATGATTATTTGAACCGGTCCTGGGCCTCCCCTAGGTCGACTCAGACTCAAATGAGTACCTAGTCTAGTGTGTAAACATTGCCACTGGGGAGACAAAGGCGGGCGGGCGTGGTGTTGGTCACCCACCCCCTCGTGTGCCGTTACCGGCCTTCATAGGTGCTCGCTAACAGCACTTGCCCCAACAGTCTGTTACAGGCTACACGGAGGATGTTGTCCATAATAGAGGCGTTTTGAGTTAGATCGCGTAAATATATAAACGCGTCGTTAAACCCGCCACCATCCGACACAGCCAATTAGTTAGGGGTTGTCACGTAAACAGAACGTGGTGCCAATTCGTTCCTGGCACACCACATCTGCGTGTGGGAGAGTAAACCCACGACGTTAACCATTCGAATATCGTGTCGGTAGTTGCGGGTTTAACGACACATTCATAATTTACGTTATTTAACCACCAAAAAACCTCTTATTATGGATGATATTTGTCGCGAAAGCCTACTGCGCGTAAAACGGGGATCTTTGTCTTTTGGTGTGTTTTAAAGAACGTGATTGTTTATATTTGTTCACGAGTTATTTATCTTATGGTGACCTCTGGCAAAGGAGGGGGGGGGTATAAGGAGATAAGAGGTGGGAGGGCAGAGTAGAAAGGAGGATGGATGGAAACTAAGAATAGGTTTTACCCTTTCTGGCAATAACAAATATTATCAGTGCATTTTTTGTTCGCATGTTCACCACAAGTACTGTTTGCGGTTAATGCATCAATTGATTCCTTGCAAAATTGATATATTTGGCGTTTGAACATCTTAACACAACTCCTGTTTTATTGCCAGAACGGGTTAACATATTCTAAAGTAGTGAACTATTTGTCTTTTGTCAACGTGACACTTTTTTACTGATTGGCCGTGTCATAGAGATACATAGAGTTACATAGAGATCCATAGAGTTACATAGAGATCCATAGAGTTACATAGAGATCCATAGAGTTACAGAGATTCATAGAGTTACACAGAGATCCAAAGAGTTACACAGAGATCCATAGAGTTACACAGATATCCATAGTTAGACAGAGATCCATAGAGTTGCATAGAGATCCATAGAGTTACATAGAGTTACATAGAGATCCATAGAGTTACACAGAATTACATAGAGTTACAAAGAGATACATAGCGTTACATAGAGTTACATAGAGATCCATAGAGTTACATAGAGATCCATAGAGTTACATAGAGATCCATAGAGTTACATAGAGATCCATAGAGATCCATAGTTACATAGAGTTACATAGAGATCCATAGAGTTACATAGAGATCCATAGAGTTACAAAGAGATCCATAGAGTTGCACAGAGATCCATAGAGTTACATAGAGATCCATAGAGTTACATAGAGATCCATAGAGTTACACAGATATCCATAGAGTTACATAAAGATCCATAGTTACATAGAGATCCATAGAGTGACACAGAGATCCATAGAGTTACACAGATATCCATAGAGTTACATAGAGATCCATAGTTACATAGAGATCCATAGAGTGACACAGAGATCCATAGAGTGACACAGAGATCCATAGAGTTACGCAGAGATCCATAGAGTTACATAGAGATCCATAGTTACATAGAGACCACAGCCCAAGGCCGCCGGCAGTGGCAGCAGTTATCGGACATCGCAGAAAGTGGTTGTACACAAACAACAACAACACAAACAACAACAACATACTCTTTGGTTCTTTCGGTAAAGTCACGTCGGTAAAAAATAATAAAAGTAAAAAAAATCCAAATAAAATAAAGAATAAAATAAATTAAATCTCGACGTTTCGGGCGCAACACAAGCGCTCGTCATCAGGTGGGACCACCACAGCCAGAAGCAACTGCTGGAATGGGTCGTGATTTAATTCATTTTATTTTTATTTTTTTACTTTTATTATGTTTTTACCCACGTGACTTTACCGAAATAACCAAAGAGTATGGATCCTTGCAGTCACGGAAACTTCAAATCTAGAACAACAACAACAACGACGACGAGGAGGAGTTACTCACTTGAACTTACCAGCGAGGCAAGTCGCAGTCGTTGGTGACGATTCTCGGCCACCAACGAACGCACGCACACAAGACGCACGCACACAAGACGCACGCACACAAGACAATCGTTTTCGTTGTTCACGTAATTCCCTAAAATTCCAGCTGCGAGCGATCCCGATGGCGGTGGTGACTCTCCCTGCAGCGCTCCCCGCAGGGTTCCGGATTAAACAAAGAAGTCGCTTCGAGGGATCTCGGAGGCAGCTCTGTAGTGTGCACTTCCGCGGGCCGTTCTCAAATCCCCCCGGACCGTTGCGCCGCTGTGCGGGAGAGGCCGAACGGAGCGCCAAGTTGCGTCTCGAGGCTCCGACTCGTGAGAGCGCAACCCTGGGGGGAGGGGTGGCGGATTACGTAAACACATTCCTGCGGAGGGAGCTGGTAGGAACGTTGGGTTGCTCGGTCAATGGCCAGGGTCAACGGCAGCGTGGTGTATTCCGCAAATATGCCCGACTGTGAGGGCGGGCACAAGCCGGCGTGAGTAGGTTAAACGTTGAGTTTTATAAGGGCACCACGGGGTGACCAGCTCCTCCCCACCCAGCCCTTCCCCACCCAGCCCCTACCCACCCTCCCCTCCCCACCCAGCCCCACCCTCCTCACCCAGCCCCTCCCCACCCAGCCCCTCCCTCCCCACCCAGCCCCTCCCTGCACGACGGACACAATAATCCCCTGTGGGCTGGTGTAACCAGGAGGTTCCTACCAGTATAAGACGTTGTTTAGACAATGAAAATATAATAACATTATGAGAGCGAGAGAGAGACAGAGAGAGAGAGAGCGAGAGAGACTTTGACTTTTAAACTAATTTTATTGCGGTACTCTTTGCTTTTTTCGGTAAAGTCACGTAGGTTAAAAAAGAAAACAAATAAATAAAATCACGACGTTTCGGAGGCGACACAAGCTTCCGTCGCCTCCGAAACGTCGTGATTTAATTTATTTGTTTTCTATTCTTTTTTAAAGAGTATGGATCCTTGCAGTCAAGAAAACTTCAAATCTAGAATCAATTTTATTTCCGCCAGCAGCAGCAGCAGCTCTGGAGCCACTTTGGATACGGGGTCACCGACATCGAGTAGAGCAAACGTCGCCATTGCAAAACCGCGGCACGTGCTCTACACACCGCCCCACGCGCAACGCGTCACTGCATCTTCACGCGCATCGCCCGCTTCAAGTCGACCGGTCACAACGCGAAAGTCGTCGGTGCACCGTTTGTGTTGGTGCAGGGGGGCCGGTCAGGAACACGGCGTGCGCGTCCCCGGCATATGAGTGGTACGAGGGGTGCTCCAGCCAGAGCCGCGCCTTGAGCAGACACCTCAACATCGCCACCGCTGAGCAGCCATCAGAGCGAGAGAGAGAGAGACAGAGAGAGCGAGTGAACGATGAAGGGATTCGATCCCCCGAGTCCGATGTCGTGCATCTCTGCAGGGACGTCGCCCCGCGCTGAGCGTGGCGCCTTCCCAGCTCCAGTTGCGTCGCACAAACTACGGAGTGGCCAAGACGACGACCTCGTCTCCTCCTCCCTCCTCCTTCTCCTCCCTCCTCCCTCCCTCTTCCTCCCTCCTTTTCCTCCCTACCTCCTCCCTCCGCCTCCTCCTTCCTCCTTCATCTCCCTCCTCCCTCCTCCCTCCCTCTTCCTCCCTCCTCCTCCTCCCTCCTCCTCCCTCCTCCCTCCTCCTCTTTCCCTCCTCCCTCCGTCCTCCCTCCTCCCTCCTCCTCCCTCCTCCTCCCGCCCCCTCCTCCCTCCTCCTCCCTCCTCCTCCCTCCTCCTCCCTCCTCCTCCCGCCCCCTCCTCCCTCCTCCTCCCTCCTCCTCCCTCCTCCTTCCTCCCTCCTCCATCTCCCTCCTCCTCCCTCCTCCTCCCTCCATCTCCCTCCTCCTCCCTCCTCCCTCCTCCTCCCTCCTCCTCCTTCCCTCCTCCCTCCGTCCTCCCTCCTCCTCCCTCCTCCTCCCTCTTCTTCCGCGACACACGTGACGGGTCCCGTTTCATCCGCGCGGCGTCTCCACCGCACAGTGCGCGGTTGGTGTGACACGCCGTGGTGTGACTCACCGTGGTGTGACACGCCGTGGTGTGGCCGGGCCTTCTGGAGGCCCCGTGGTCTCCACTGCAGCTGTCTGTGCCCCCCCCCTTCCCCCGCATGTATTCGCAGGGACGCGGTGAGGAGGACCCCTCGCATCCACTCAGCCTCGTGGGGCACGGGGTGGGGTCATCTGGGGGGCTGGAGTGGGGGGCTGGAGTGGGGGGCTGGAGACGCATCATGTGGGAAGGGCTGGGTGGTTGGGTGGTGGTGGCGCTGCTGGTGGTAATCGTTGTGGTGGTGGTTGTGGTAATGGTTGGGAGGTGGTCATCTGGTGATGGGGGTGGGTAGGTGGGTGGGTAGTGGTGGTGGTTGGGTGATGGCGCTGCTGGGGAGTTATGGGTTGGTGGTAGTGGTTGGATGGTGGTGATGGTGGTGATGGTGGTGGTGCATGTGGTGGTTGTGTGTTGCGTATCTCCGCCCTTGCAGCGGCCGTGGTGTTGGAAGCTCGCCGCTTTGGCCGTGATTTAAACGGCGACATTATCACGATGGGCCCACCACTGTTTGCCAAAATCACGCACGCGCGCGATGGCATTGTTCGTTTGTATGGAAATTAAGCTGTAGGGCACTGGGGCCACTTTAATTCATCATGCAAATAACCGCTCTCCGCCTAAATTGAATTCCCGGGTAAATGTTCCACAGATTAAGAATCGCTGAGGGTTTCGCGTTGCCCCCCCCCATGATTGGTCGTGCAGAAGGCGAGGCGGCCCAGCCAAGCTCGCACGCCACCTCTCGATATCTCCGTCTCTTCCCCGAGGTTATCCCCCCCACCACACACACTCGGGCGATCATTCCATCTTCAAAGGCGACGGAGAGAAGACTATGGGTGTTCACACAGGCGGTGGCAGACGCACAGAGGGTTGCCTCGCTCTGAGCGATAGTGCGGTTTAGTGGTAGATTGCGTTCACGAAGAAAGTGAAGGGGCGCACAGCTGCCTGCCGAGAAGCACTTAAAGCACACACACACAGTACACACACAGTACACACACAGTACACAGTACACACACACAGTACAAACACACATGACACACACACAGTCAAAACACACAGTACAAACACACAGTACACACATACAGTGCACACACAGTACACACACAGTACACACACAGTACAGACACACAGGACACACACAGTACACACACAGTACACAGTACACACACAGTACACAGTACACACACAGTACACACAGTACACACACAGTACACACAGTACACACACAGTACACACAGTACACACACACAGTACAAACACACAGTACACACACAGTACACACACAGTACACACACAATACACAGTACACACACACAGTACAAACACACATGACACACACACAGTACAAACACACAGTACAAACACACAGTACACACACAGTGCACACACAGTACACACAGTACACACACGCAGTACACACAGTACACACACAGTACAGACACACAGTACAGACACACAGTACAGACACACAGGACACACACAGTACACACACAGTACACAGTACACACACAGTACACACACAGTACACAGTACACACACGCAGTACACACAGTACACACACAGTACACACAGTACAAACACACAGTACACACACAGTACACACACAGTACACAGTACACACACAGTACACACACAGTACACAGTACACACACAGTACACAGTACACACACACAGTACAAACACACATGACACACACACAGTACAAACACACAGTACAAACACACAGTACACACACAGTGCACACACAGTACACACAGTACACACACGCAGTACACGCAGTACACACAGTACACACACAGTACACACACACAGGGCACACACACAGTACACACACAGTATACACACACAGTACACACACAGTACACAGTACACACACGCAGTACACACAGTACACACACAGTACACACACACAGTACACACACACAGTACAAACACACAGTACACACACACAGTACAAACACACAGTACACACACAGTACACAGTACACACACAGTACACAGTACACACACAGTACACACACGCAGTACAAACACACAGTACACACACACAGTACACACAGTACACACACGCAGTACACACAGTACACAGTACACACACAGTACACACACAGTACACACTCATAGGACACACACACAGTACACACACAGTACACACAGTACACACACGCAGTACACACAGTACACAGTACACACACAGTACACACACAGTGCACACACAGTACACACACAGTGCACACACAGTACACACACAATACACACACACGCTCATGTTGTCCTACGTCCGACCGCATAGCCGCAACAAGGAGGCAATTCAAACCGCGTATGGCGAATTTTCTGGGTAGAAATATGGGCGCCGCGTTTGCATCGCGACATCGTACGAACCGAACCCGTGTACAGCGAGGGAAACCTGTACCGCGTAAACCGTAAGTTTCCCTCCATAGTCCAGCTTTTGTTTGGGTTAGATCGCGTAAATATATAAATGTGTCGTTGTAGTTTGCCACGTAAACAGATCGTGCCAATTCGTTACTAGTGTGGTGTAACAGCGCCGGATGGTGGACAGCAGCAGCAGCGACAGCTGCGGTGGACAGACATCACACACGCCGGTGACGGTGTGCACGGTGTGGTGTTGGCAGGGCGGAGGAACTAGGGCAAGGCTCACGGAGGACCCCGTCTGTAGGCCCCTGGAACCTGCTGGCGAGTTCGAGAAGGGAGGCGCGGTCAGGGCGGAGCCAGGCCGCGCTGAGAGCATAAAAGGAGCCGAGAGCGGGGGGCTCGGGGCTGCCGGTTCTGGGAGTGGACTCGCCTCGTCGTCGCTGTCGTCTCGTCGCCGTCGTCGCTGAACGTCTCCGCTAGATGTCGCGCTACGGAGGATAGCAGTTGGCTATCTCAGTCAGTGCAGTCAGTGTTAGACGCCCGGTGTTGTGTACAGGCTGGGCTGAGCTACTGTGGAGAGTGTGCGGACGAGACCATGGAAATTGTTAATGAAGAAAGAGCCTCCGAGAAACTGTCTCTGAATCGTTGACGCGACACTAGTACAGCACTAACCGGTGTGTTGGAGAGGCAATCCACAACATTTACAATCTACGTACGACGTTTCGCCAGTAATTACAACCAGCTTCATTAGGCGACAGCAATAGTTGTCCTATGGATAGACTCGCCCCCCCCCACCACCATGAGCATCGTGGAATTTCCACCACTTGCTCAGGGCTGTAAGTGGGCAATGACAATCAATTTGCGTGCGGGAACGAAGCCACCGTGATTAGTCTAACGGTGCCCTCGCTAACAGCACTTGCCACCCGCCCCCAAAATAAAATGTCACGTGAAGACTCTACGGGGAGGATCTTTGTCTTTGTTGCGTCATCACGTGTCTTTGTTACGTCATCACGTGTCTGTGACGTCATCACGTCTCTTTGTTACGCAATCACGTGTCTTTGTTACGCAATCACGTGTATTTGTGACGTCATCACGTGTCTTTGTGACGTCATCACGTGTCTTTGCTACGTCATCACGTGTCTTTGTGACGTCATCACGTGTCTTTGTGACGTCTTCACGTGTCTTTGCTACGTCATCACGTGTCTTTGTTACGTCATCACGTGCCTTTGTGACGTCATCACGTGTCTTTGTTACGCAATCACGTGTCTTTGTTACCTCATCACGTGTCTTTGCTACGTCATCACGTGTCTTTGTTACGTCATCACGTGTCTTTGTCACGTCATCACGTGTCTTTGTTACGTCATCACGTGTCTTTGTTACGTCATCACGTGTCTTTGTCACGCCATCACGTGTCTTTGTTACCTTATCACGTGTCTTTTCTATGTCATCACGTGTCTTTGTTACGTCATCGCGTGTCTTTGTTACGTCATTACGTGTCTTTGCTACGTCATCACGTGTCTTTGCTATGCTCGTGTCGTTTGGCGCAGCCTGTACTCCTCTGGCGAAGCGAGAAGTGATTGCGTGCCGAGGGGTGGTGATGATGATGATGATTGTCCAAGTGAAAAAA